GATTCGGCCTCTACCAACCCAAAGCACCTCCCATCAGCCATACCTCCCTGCCCTCAGCCAAGTCCTTCAGCTCATCCTCGACAACAAGATCCCTCCCAAGCTTGCCGTATGCTTCTCCGCTAATTATTTTATGGCGCTTCACAAAGACCCAGATGACCCCACCAAACTTCGACCCATCGGGATGGGAAGTGCCCTCCGACGCGTCAGCGGTAAATATGCCATGCAAATCCTGCAGACCCAGCTGGCCTCCTTCCTCCTCCCCTATGGCCAGTTGCCATCTCTGTCAAAGGTGGCCTCCAATTCATGGTCGACAGTGCCAGAGCCCAACTTCATCGCTATGTCACTTCCTCCCCCAACCCTCTCCAAGCTTCCCGGGTCCTGCTCCTACTGGATATCCGCAACATGTTCAATGAATGCTCCCGGGCCGCTGTGCGAGACTTCCTGTTTGAATCTGATGACTTCTCCTGCCTTATACCCTTCTACGACCTGTGCTATGGCAACCCCAATCGCTGCTACTACTATGATGACACTGGAACCCTCTGCTACCTCACCCAAAAAGAAGGCCATGCCCAAGGCTGCCCCCTGGCTGCCACTGCCTCCGTCTTCTGCCTTTGCCTCCTCCTGTCCAAGCTTCTTGCCCTCCTTCAACAGAAGGCTGCCCTCAGAATTGCCCAAGGCGACACCGGCGATGATGGCAGCGGCTCCCACGCCACTGTCCCTCCTACATCTCTCTCTTTTCTTTGACGGTTTCTGGGAGGTCAGCGAAAGGGCCAGCAGCTGTGCCTCGCTTGAGGTGTCGAAGGGAAGAGGTAAGGGTGGGGAGGTCCATCGGAATTTGAGGTGGTCGACCAGACTGTCGAGTGGATTTGGGGTGTTTGGCAACATAGGAAGTGGGTTCTGGGTAGAGTTTCTCACAGAGCACTCGGACTTCTGGGGTGATGGAGGCAACTGGGAGGGCAGACACTACACGGGCATAGGCTGTATGGTAGTTGTCTTCATCGGCGGCAAGTTGGGCAGCGGCAGCATTGGAGGAAGGAGTTGATGCTGGGCGGGGAGCGGCGTGGATCATTCGATTCGACCGAATCGGCTGAGACTTGCTTCAGTTCTCATCTTCTCATCAACCCCCATGCACGAGGCAGCAGAACTGTGGCGTGATGGGTTGACTCTGTCAATCCCAGTAAATTATTTAGTATTGTCACTTTTTGCTGCATTTGATAAATCTGTAGCATTGCAATCATACAAAGAAGACCACCATGAAGAACCCTCTTGTTTCTTCAACTTTGTGCCTCTTGTTGCCTGCGTTTGGCTCTCGGGCGGCTGCTACGTGCCTGCATGATGATTCGTTGGAAACACACCGCTTGGGAAGCTGCGACGGATTCAGCGTCGGCCCCCTTTCGGGAGGAACCTTGTTTCAGCAGCTGAGTCAGGGAGGCTTGAATATTCCGGATCAGGCATCATACAGTTGCACTTTGACCTGTGATAGTGGTGGTGGAACCACCAACTTCTACCTTGTCTTTGGCTCCAGCGGCTCGCCATCTTCCACCAATGCCAATGTGAAAAGTGAAGGCTCTTGCAATGCCGTGGTTACTGGAACGAACCCCAATGGTAACGTGACGTATGTAAGATACACCCTCAGTATCACGGGAGGATATTCCAATTTTATGATTTCTTGCACCTGCGACAGTGGCAGCAGTGATGGCGATGACGACAATGATGGACCGCCGGGTGGTGGTTGCTTTTCGGTCTCTGATACGGTCCAGACCAAGGCTGGGAAGACGGTGGCAATGAGCGACTTGGTGGTGGGAGAAAACGTTTTGGTCGATCCTTTCAAGCAACTCTATGAACCAGTCTACAGCTTTGGTCACTATCACAAGAGCTGGGAGGCGGAGTTTGTAGAGCTTCACACAGCAGGTTTCGCACCTCTCCAATTGACAGCCAATCATTTGGTTCATATCCTTGGTGAATCGGAGCCCGTAAGGGCCGACCAAGTGCGAAAAGGAGATTTGCTCTGGTCCATGACAGGTGCAGAGACTGTCACCGCAGTCAAAGCAACAAAGAAGACTGGACTGTACATGCCGCTCACTCCTTCAGGCAATATTGTTGCGAATGGGATCGTGGCGTCGACTTATGTGTCCATCCAGAGCTAAGCCTCCTGTGGTACAACATTCCTGGTTAAGATCGTGGTTGTCAGAGCACATGCTCGTGCATGCCTGGATGGCACCAGTACGGTACACCTGTCTGGGTTTCTCTTTGAATCTTTGCCCATCAGCGAGCAACGAGAGATCGCCTACGGGTGTCTTCATCCCGGTGTCTTGTCGTGGCTCTTGGTTGGCAAAAGCCTTGCGGAATGGGGCATTGCACAGACTTTGCCAGTCCAGTGGATGGCGGGTCTTCCTGTTGCTGCGATGCTGTCTCTGATGGTTCTGTTGGAATATCTGTTTGGTGCTTTGCTGGCTCCTTGGATGTTTGTCCTGGTCTTTTGGGGACTGGCCAGATGCTGGAGGAAGAAGAGGGCTAAAGGTTGGTGGCTCTAGCTAGAACCGTGGCTACAGGTAGAAACCTCACACACGGCAGAAGGATTAAATCTGTCGGCGTATCTATGCCTCTAGAACTTGAAAACTGACTGTGTAAGACAACTATGATACGTACTTAATCTAATCGCTGTATGAAAAGGTACGTAGTTCAACTGACTAATCAGAAGATGCCAACGGCGCAATGTGCTTTTGGCAGAGTTGCATGTATTTGTCGTTGCCAAGCAGAAACTCTGCAATCTCTGCCTTGGCCTTGCTCGGCAAGTTTTTCGTCTTTTGATATCCCATGGCATCGTCGACAACCGCCTGGGTGATTGTCTCAATTCCCGCCTGAACAGTTTTGCTTTGCTTCATGGTGGTCTTGACCCAAGACTTGCCAAATTGGGGCCATGAGTCAAAGGCTTCGAATGCAGTGATGAATCGGTCCGAATAGTCTGGGGGGTTTCCTGTGTACTCGGCGGTTGCTGTGGCCAAACCAATGAAATGACCAAAGATACTTCCCACGAGCGGCAGTTTGGCCAGGATTGCCAATACGAGCTGAAGGAAACTTGCCGATGTCAAGGCCGATCCCTTGAGTTGAATCGCATAGTCTTTGGGGCTCTTGATCAAATCACGGTGAATGTTTTCTTCCGTGGGCATGCTATTCACAGCAGCATTTTTCCACAAGCAAAGCATGCGAACTTCAATGGACTCTCTGTCAGGACCATCGGTTGGAGCGTCGGGATCTGACACACTCATATGAAAGCAGGTTCTTCCCGACTTGGTCCAGTCACTGTCCATTTGCTTGAAAAGTATGCCTTCATTTTTGGTCATTTTGGGAAAGTAGTACCACTTGTGGTGTTCGGCATGTCGGGCATTGAGACCGTATTGAACCACCTCATATCCATCTCCAAACAGATCCTTGATAACGTAATCGTCCGGCTTGACAACTGTTCGTTCATCCAGACACGCCAAGTGATTGTTTTCTATGGGACGATCGCCAATATTCCGCCACAAGTTGAGATAGCAGTATCGTTGGTACTGATCTCTGGTCCCCTCTTGGCCATGGTTCTTCAGCACATCGAGTGCAAACATGTCACCGCTAATGGCGGAAGAATCCGTATGAGGACCTCCACCGGCATAACCTTGAACGCCATTTGTTCCCGCCTTGGCGGCACTGCGCACTTGACTGTGGACACAAATCACCTTGTCGCATCCAAGTTTCTGCGCTACAAACTCCTCTACTTCGTCGTAGTAGCGCTGCATGATATTGACATCTCCAGATTGGATTTTGTAAAAATCTTCTGTAGGCAGGTTTGTGGGACACTGCACCAACTCGAAACTGGCATCGTCCAACCGGAGACTGTCGTTGCCTCGGCCATTGTGGATGGTCTGATCCGTTGAGACAATCGATCCACCAACATCTTCTGGATGGATCGAAGCAGCTCGTTCGGCATTCGAGCGTGGCACAGCAGTAAAGTACAGCCAGTGACGCGTCCGATCATCAACTGAAAGAGAGATTGCTTTGGCGGTGAATGAGTTCATGTTGGTGGGTCTTCACTGTTGTCTTGCTTGGGGTTTGGAGTGATGAGCAGGAGGACAGGAGCCCCCTCTTGGTTTTTGTGCTTTGTGTTCACAAAAATTGGAATTCTAAAAAGTGTCAAACACGTGTACTAGTAGATTCCGTGGAAGACCAGAAGATTTGGGTCGTGGATATTATACCAAGATTTGACCGCCAAGAATGCGAACCCCCATCGACACAGCTGAAATAAGGAGGTGGTTTTGAGATCCAGAGGTCGTTGCCTAAACGACCTTCATGCCTTCATTGGCACCAAACGATGCAGACAAAGCAATGGTGGCCTTTGTTTCTTCCTTTGTCACCACCACGACAGCGTCGGGGTTTCTCTGCCATCAAGGTCAACAGCAATGTGTATCGATTGGGCCGAGGACCAAAAAAGAGTTTAGTTTTGCCATTCAGTCGACGGCACCCGACGACGACAATGTTTCACAGGGCGAGTCTCCAGAGCCACAAAAGCCAAAGTCTCGATTGGCGCAATTGGCAGAAGATTGGTTAGAAGAGGAGCAAGACGATGAACTGCAACTGTACTGGGAGCGCTTTGAATCCAACAAGGCAAACCCAAGCTCATTGGTATGCAAGCAACCAAGTGCTGACAGCGACAGCGATAATAACGACGAAGAACAACTTCTCACCACAGAACAACGCCTGGAACGGTACTTTGGTCGAAAGGGAATCCACAAATCGAACGAACGCAAATACGCTCCTCTGATGGAAAAGGTCATTGCCAAGGCTCAGGCAGCCACAACCCCCGAAGAAGCAATGTTGGCGTTGGAACCGGTACAACCCTACCTACAACCACGGACGCGGCTGGGAGGAACGGCCTTGTACGAACTGCTGGTGGCTATTTGGCAGCGTGACGGTATTTTGAACGAAGACTTGCTGCAAGAACTGAGACAGAATCCTCACATCAAACGAAAAGTTCAACAACTGATCAAAATGGAATCGCCGCCATCCAGGAATCCTTCCTTTTGGCAGGGATTTTTGGATTCAACCAGCAACAACTCTTGGTGGAATTAGCTAGTCTATTGTATCTATTGGATATTGTACTGGACCAACTCTTGCTACTTGTAGCCACAGTGCCAGTCAAATAGAACTCACCTTCCGTTGTAGCTTATTCCCATATGCTCACATGCAGTTGTTGGATACGGTACGGTAGCACCTAGGGATAACACTAATGGCTAGTGGACTCCTGAAGGCTTGTCTTTTTGTGTGCCTGTGATAATCAGAGCTTGCATGAAAGTTTGTCTTCGGCGATCTCTCTGCTGTTCGGTGCCTCCTACATGTATGATCACCTCCGACTACTATGATATGGTAGACCTTGGTGAGGTCAATTGTTGTGCATCCTGGATGGGATGGGTGCATGGTTCTTGTGCCCCTCTCTTCTCTTTCTTTTCCAACTCAGGACATCTTATGTAAGTAGATGTCAGTCCAACTTCTGTGAACTTCACAGAGGACAATGAAGCAATACCTCTCCAAACCTGGAGGAACCTTTCACCAACCAGTGTCTACATGTCTCGGTACTTCCAATACCTTACTCATGCACTGGTAGATGTAATGCACGTTCTCTTATACTTCATTATTGAACCTATCTTCTATCCACACTTCTTCTCAAAACTGGGGGCTCTCTCTTTCTAACAAGCAGGGGCCGCAACGCTACGGGATGTCTTGACACGTTCTTTTGGAAGCGCAGCGATCTTGTTGGGGCTCTTGATTTCTTTTTGGCTTTCTTTCTTTTTCTTGGAATGCGATGATGTTCTGCTGAGGCTGGACAGAGAACCGCAAGATTCGGAGGCACGAAGCATGCCTTTCGAGTTCTTGGAATGCGATGACACTCGGCTTAGTAGGCTAGCGAGCGAGCCATTTGACGCGGAGGCACGAAGCAAGCCTTTCGTTTTCTTGGACTTGGTTGACGTTCGGCTGATGCTCGACAGGGAAGTGCTTGACTCGTTCGCATGAAGCAGGTCAATTCCAATGTACTTGTCGACAGCTTTCTTGTCTGTCTTGCCGAGCGCCTTGGCGAGAATCTTGGAAGGACGGGTCGCCTCCTTGTAGCTCTCCCTGATGATCTCGTCCGCGTCGTTCTTGGTCTCCGCTCGGTCCAACATTGTCTGCATTTGGAACACAATCGTTCTGGACTCGGCCACCGCATTCAAGCGATCTCTCTTGAACTCTTTCGTGATGACTCGTTTCTCCAGGCCTCGATGATCAGCGCTCATCGAAGCCCACTTGCGAAGGAATGACTTGGTTTCCTTCTTGAGACTCTCGTCTTCGGCGTCATCGTTTGCCTCAAGATCAGACCAGCGGAAGATGCATTCGATACCCGTAACCATCGCAGGGCTTTTCTCTGCGATTTCCTTGCCCGTCTGGTCTGCATTCTGGCGAAACGTTTTGCGCTCCTCGGGGGAATAGTAGAGATCGTTGAAATTGCCATCTTCGACCTCACCGTCTAGAAGAGCAGCCACATCTTCGACCTGGACGTCGTCGCTGAGACGTACTCTCTTTCTGAGTTGTTCTTGCTTCTTTACGTTTGATTTTGCCAACTTGAATGATGGTAGCTGTGCGATTGCGACTTTCAACATTGCACCTTTTCTAGTGTATTTTGTTCGCTGATGTGCTTGGTAAGGTAGCGAGGTCTGGCTCGACGAGATTGTGAGGGACATGAATGATAGTTTGCTCAGCTTGGAAGTGCGCATATCTGTTCTTGTCTGTGAGCGACCGGTAATGTTGGTACTGGTACCAGTACAAGGTAAAAACCCAACCTCAGCCATCCATGTACGGCAGTACAATAATGTTTCTGCCAGAGGAACTTTCACGTTTACGTGATACACCCCCAGTAAGCGGCATTTGCAACAAGTTCTGTATCATCTGGATGCCGCATCACCGGTAACATCCAGTCTGCCGGCCACATGTACTACTGGCTAGCTATCTGTTGTCTGGAGCTAGCAAAGCAAACTGTAATGAAGTGTGTTTTAGTTATTGGTTTTTGGTGGCTTAATTAGAGCTTGCAAGGAATGAATCGAATCGAATCGAAACCGTTCAGAACGCATGGTCAGACGACGACAGGTCAAGAACTAAGAACTATCTAAGGCAAAAGGGCAAAGCGCCAACTTCCAGGATTTAACACAATGGTACTGTATCAAATTTAAAATGACCGACAAGTGACAATCAGTACAGCGTAGCATAAGCATTGCACCAGTACCGTGTACCGTACCCTGTTTTGTGAGAATTCGAGAAGCCATCAAGTCCGCTACGGTAGCTAGGCGCTGCTGGTTGGCTAGCTAGCAGCTGGCTCTTGCAATTTTAAAATTGCTACTAGCTTGATCTAACGCCAGATGACTGAGTTATGCCAATTCAAGGTTCCAGTGAGTAACACGCACCACTAGCCACTGACCAACTGACTAGGATTACAATGTCATGTAGTTGTAACTTCTTGGTGGGAGAACTGTAGCAAGAGCTGTTGATCCGAAGTTATATCATCTTGCGGCTCAAGAGAACGGACTCATGCATTTTACTTCACACCTCTGGCAAAGCGTTGATGGCGAGTTCACTCCTCGTGTCAAGAGGTCGTGCATGACTCAGTTCTACCGTGCCACCGTTAGGACATTGCAACTGGGGACCAGCGCAAGCGGATATCCTCGACTTGTTCCAATGGCCAGCCGGGAAGGCTTACACGTGGAAGGCCGTCGGGTGCCATCGCGCACATGGGGAGGGGCCCATGTGCGCACAAAGTGATCGGGTTCCATGAATATAGGGATAGGTTCGTTTGGGGGGGAAAAAATCGCACCTGTTTTATTGTTTTTCTGCTATATCTTTGGAACTAGTCGATTACATTTGTTCAGGACGTTCGTTCGGAAAATGGGCCTGTAGCGTGATGGGCAGCACACAGGTCCAGGTGATGGTCTTGGACTTGGGCTTGGGTCAGGATTGTGGAACTATGCCACTGAAAAAAGGTGAATGTGGATACAACAAAACCACATCTGCAAACACAAAACCTGCAGGATACTTGGGCCCGGTGCTGCGAGATGGTCCTGAATTTGTCCCAAGAAGGGGGGAAGATGGGCGGGCTTGGAGTACCGTACCGTGTGCCCCTGCATTGGTCCAGGTATGGGACTTTGGGCACGTAGTCCAGGTGGTGGCTCTACTAACTTCCGTGACAACGTCCTGAGACTTGGTAATGGAAGTACGAAATAGCTGACTGCAGCAATTATCATTTATTTCCCACTACAACGTTTCACTCATGGCTGGTGTATCATGGATTAGAAGCTAGCTAGGTATCCTGTGTCAACTACTATTGTTCTTGCTGTGCCAACATGTCATCCACCCAGTCGGGTATTGGTAGATTGAGCCCCTTGTGCGCATAATCAATGGACAAAAACTCGAGCAACTTTTCCGCGGCATACGGTGTAAAGTACTCTTTGATTTTCTTGGAGGCGGTTCCGATTCGATTCTTCATGACTTCCCCACTGTTGGACATGACAACATGCTGTTTGGTATCATTGTGGTTTTTGTCAAGATGAAAGATTTTGGACACCACCGGTGTAATATTGTAGCGTTGTCCAAACTTGACAAGGTATTCTTGTGACTTTGCCTTGTCCCCACTCATGTATCCAACAAAATCATAGTGTTGAATGTTGCGAAAGAGTCCATCGCAAAAGAGTGCTGCCGGCATGAAATGAATGTTCCATCGGAGTGGGTAGGTATCAATGTACGCTTGAAAAAAGTGTCGTTTCATGGCCAAGAATTCTCGCAACAATCGGGCATCGTCTTCCTTGGGTATGAATTGTCGTTTTTGAGCCTGATTGGGATGCGTGATAAAGTGGGGAGCCCAGAGTTCGGACGGTTCGCAGTGCGGTTCGTAATTGCGATGTTGTGGCATCATGCACTTGTCAACAAAGCCAGATAGAAATCGTTCCAAGGGATCTCGTAAAAAGACGGCCTTGGGGAGTACGGGTGGCAATTGTTGGGGTTTATCGAGACAAAAGTCTCCCACGGATTGAGGGTCCTTGCCGTCCAACATGCATTTGAGGGCGTTCCATTCGGTCGAGGCGACCTTTTCCAGACTGCAAAACTGGAGTGGACCGGTGGGAGTATTGAAGATTTTGAAATGCCACTTGCCGTGCAGTCCAGATGGACCCAGAATGTTGGATCCGTCTCGAACCAGTGTTTGAACCCACCAGGGATATTTGGGGGGGATTTTGGGGGCATTGGTGTGCAATTCCAGAAGACAGTGATACAAGGATTGATCTGGTTTTTGGCAAGCATCGATCAGGTGCTTGTAGGATTTCTCAAAGGCTTCTTCCACTATTTGCCGTGCTGTCCTGCGTTGTTGTTGTGGTGGTGGTGGTTCCAATTTGCGCTGAACCATGAAATTGCTCTTGTCAGCTGCCAAGGAATTTATTGCATTGGCCTCATGATGATGAATGCAGCCGGCATGTTGATAGTTGAACAGAAACAACGCTGAGGATAGACAGAGAAGCCACAGTAGCAGCACTTTCATAGATATACTGGAGGTTGACATTTTATGAAGGAGGGTTGTTGGACTTGTGTTGTTCTCGTGGGAAACTGAAAGTAGCTGAGGATTGGTCTTATTTGTGACCAATGGCATCAATGACTGAATGAGTCACTGGAGCGATCTATCTTGTGTAACAACAGATCCACAAGATCCACGATCCAGATAATTCTGTTTCCAACCGCGAATAAAACGCCCACTTTTTGAGGCAGCTGCTTCTTTCCAGATGGAGACGGAGGCAGCTTGCAGACAGCTTGGAGACATACCCAGTTGCAACCTGATGGCCATCAAGCGTTTGACCATCCACTGATTCAGCTACATTAGTTCTTTGTTTCTTTGAACTAATAATTTCGAAGCCTCTTGTCTTTATCTGTAGCTACTGTAGCTTGCATGTGCATGAATGATTCAATCAGAGAAGGAGAAGGTAGACGACAGGGAAGCCTTCTTCTTGCGTGATGCCTCTTCTTTGGGCCGTTCTTGCGCTTGGCCCTTGTAAGCTACTCCTTGCACTTGTAATCTACCCCTTGCATGCCAGTCGAGCAACCAACGCCAAGACTCGACTCGACACGGCCAAACCTGGAATTGAAAGGAGCATGCAGCATGCTAGACTAGCGGTAGACTACATGCAAGAGCCAAACAGAAAACAGGGACCTACACAAGTGAAGGTGCGTGCTCGCTTCAATGAAAGGGAAGCGCCCAGCTAACACTTGCCTAGCTAGCTAGAGCTAGCTAAAGTTTGCTAAGAGAGATGGAAAGACACCTAGTCCATAGGCATCGACAAGTGCCGTGATCTAAGAGCACTCGTGTTGAACTACATGTTCTATAGGTCTATAGGTCTATAGGTACAAGTCTTTGTGATGGAAAACTGGTGTGATCTAAAATAATATATGTAACTTTTAGCACGCAAACAATGGATGTTGTATTACAACTGTAGAATCTGTGGTGGGTATCTGATCACCACCACCAAGCAGGAGGAAAGGAAGGACCGGAAGATGAAAGCCATATCTTTCGTTCTGTTCTAGACGGGTCGAGCGCCATTGATAAGTCCGTAATCACCGTAATCGCTGACAAGGCTCTGGACTCGTCGCATGGGAGACTTGGTTCTGGACTTGGAGGAGGAAGACTTGCTCTTGGTGGGAGTCTTGCGGCGTCCCTCCTTTCTGACTTCGTTGCTGCTCTTTCGTCGCTTGATCCTTTTGGTCTTTTTGATACTGATGCTATCCCTGGACTCTTTGGAAGCCATGGAGTGGAGGGATCCAGCGTCGTCAGTGTCCAAGAGATCGTCTTCTTCGTACAAGTCTTCCTCGAGTTCTTCGTCATGATAATAGGGCATGACCGCTTGAGCATCGGCATTGCCGTAGACTTGTGCCAAGAGTTGTGCCGGTTTGGCAAATTCAAAGTACTGGTTTCGCATCATTTCAGCGTGCGTGTCGGCCATTTCGGCGGCCATGGGACTGCGTTTAAAGAGACACTGGAGATTCAAAACGACACTGCGGGATGCCTTGACTTCTTGGGCTTGATCGCGGCGTTGTTGTTTGGACAAGACAAAGCGTTCCAAGCCACGACGAGACGATACCAAGGTGGACCAAGTGGGGAGCAAATCGGCGGCCGCTTCCGAGTCCTTTTGACGCGTCGTTTCGTAGGCTTCTTCAATCTCCAAGGCCAACAAGGGTTGGCTTTGACGAAGGTGTTCGGAAAGCTGCTTGGCTTTGGCCTTGAATTCGTTCAGGTCGGGTTTGGAGTGCCAACGAGTGGTGGGGTCTGTCATTTCCACAGTGGCTACCACGGTAGCCACCTTTTTGGCAAAGCAAACACATTTGTTCTTTTTCACACTACCATCAGTGGTAGTGGGAGTGCTGATGGTAGCAGCGGAGATGGGTTCTGTCATGCACATGGTGATGAGAATTGGGATCAAGTTTACTTGTGGGGTATCGCTCTGATTGATTGATTGATCGATTGATGTTTCTTTGCAAAGTTGATGGCTTGAAATTGTGTGTGATGATAAGAGCTCTAAAAAGTTCACAAAAACTTTTACCGCCTCGATCTGCAGGATCCGTAACTCTTTGCTTCTGGGATCGACGTGAGAACCCCTTCTCTTTGGGGCATGATAATGGTCAAAATCATGTTTAGGTTAGATGCTCCAAGACAGTCAAGATGACCACCGAACAAATCAGGGGAGGACTCTCACTAGATCCTCCAGTAGACAGTGATCAAACGCACAGAGCCATTGAAATAAAGTTCACATCCCCCACACTTTCAAAAACGACCTGGGTCAAACGCGGTTTTGCACCAGAACTCAGCTAAACCACTTTGGAAAGTGCCAAACCAGATGACGACAGCCAGCATATTCTTCGTAAGCGGTTTGCACACTCCCGTTAAAGATCGTGTAAAAACCAGTACCAGAACAGAAGGTTACCTATTCCAGGTCCAACAAACCAGTCAACAACAGTCAAGATTACTGTAGCAAAAACTGTACTCAAGTAGTCAAGTGTCCCCTGTTTCTGGTCACTGGTATAAATCAGTTGATCACCTAAATCTCTGTTTCTGTTATTCGGATCAATGACTCAAAGGATAGATATAAAAGAGATCTTCACCCCGATGGAATGACCGTCAGTCCAAAATTGACTTAGGCCTCGAGGAGTCCGGGACGAAAGCTTCTTTGGACTGCACCTTCTGGTGCGTACTCACACGCAGCTCAAACGCACGCGCACTCACGGATCACGTACATTGACGAAAATGACATTGTCTCCATTTCGGATTCTCCATTCATTCGCTCATTCTTTCAAGGCTTGCTGTGAAACCTACCAGTACACTGCGACATGGTACACTTCATAGCTAGAGTAACTCCTAACGGTATTGGTGGTGCTACACAACACCTTTTTTGTCCGCTTCTTCTCTTAGTCTATTTCGGCCAGAAGCCAAAAAGGAGGCGAAAGTCAATGGCTTACCCGTCTTGGATGCCTTCCCCGCCAACCGCCAACCGCCAAAGGCCAAAGAACTGCCGATTGGAAGCTACAAGATGTGAGCAGAAGCCGCGTCTGCTGTATATCTGTCTCCTTCTGCTCTCAAAGTGCGTACGGGATAGTATGTACAGGCTAGAGTCTGGAACGCTTTCTGCCTCCAGCTGAATGCTGGCACATGATCGTGCCTAGATTGATCATTAAGGCATCTCATCTCATCTTAGCTCATCTTTACAGCATTTACGGGGCGAGAGCTAGCTAGTCTACTAGTAGCTAGGTAGCGATTATCTTCTAACCAGCGAAGCAACTTTAGAAACTATTGGTACCGTCATCAGCTGACAGAACGGCCAGTTTGTCTTTGTTGCGTGACTTGCGTGAAGAGAACAAACCTCTGCTATCCATTCTTTGGCTGCTGCCTTCTCCAAGAAGTTCACAATGCTTCCTTCTATCGTGATACTCAATCAGGCAGTTTGTCTTGTAGCGTGAAGAGAATAAGAGAACAAACCTCTGCTGCGGCTGCTGCAGGCCCCAAGAAGTTCACAAAGCTTCCTGCTGCTAGTCTACTCGTCTACTCAATCGGCCAGTTAGTTTGTCTGGTGTCTAGTACATGACATTGTAGCGTGAAGGGTGAAGAGAGCAAACCTCTGCTGTGGCTGCTGGTGGCCCCAAGTAGTTCACGATGCTTCCATCTTCCAGCCATGCTTCCGGCTAGCTCCAAGCTAGCTAGTCTAGACTACAGTTTTGTCTTGTAGCGGGGAGAGAACAAACCTCTGCTGGCCTGCAGGCCCAAGAAGTTCGCTCACACTTCCTGCTGCTATCCATTTGGCGCTTTGCAGGCGACACCCCAACACGAGTGGTTTCACGAGGCTTCCTGAGATGGTCTTCTATTGCCTTGGACCTTTCTGGGAAGGTTTCCAGTCTCCTTTCTTCAGTTTCGGAGGAAGAGGGAAGTTCACGCCACACAGAGAACAGCCCCTCCCCCTCCTCCGTTTCTCTTTCAAACTCTTCCTGCCTGGTTAGACTCTCGCCACTAGAGCTAGCTACCTGGTAGCTAGCCAGAGCCCTAGCTAGAGAATGATACATGTGGGTTTTCACCCTTATCCCTAAACGGCTTTCAGTTGCATCGCTATCGCGCAGCTTCGGCGCCACCACGCACAACGAGCATGAGGTAACAACCAGAGCAACCGTGACAAGGACAAGATCAATGGGCCAAAGGACTGCTGTTTCTAGCTTATTTTCAGCCCAAGTGTGCTTATTAATATAACAATGACAGCAGAGGAGTCCAATCAGTCCCAGCAGGAGAATCCTGATCCGTTCATTGAAGTTGTCTTGTCTCGATCGTCCTATCGAATCGGCGAGTCCGTGGTTGGCACCATTCGACTGGTGCCTTCTTCTCGTCAACAACAACAACAGCCACAAGACGTGTTCTCGGACAGCTACGTGTTTGTGGCTGGATGGTGCCGATTGGATCCACGATGGCACCGTCGTGCTTCCGAATATCTCAAGAAATATGAATCACCGGCGGTTCATGACGCGCTACATAATCGACACGGCAACGGAGGTGGTGTAGCGATTGACAAGCAGTGTGTCTGTTTTTGGACCACCAATGTGCTCCAGTTGCAGTCTTTGCAGGAACGAACCACGGGACGATGGGAAAATGTCAAGCCAAAACCGATTCGGGGCATGACGAAGATTGGAAATGAAGAAGCAGAAGCTGATGATCATTCCAATGCCATGAACGGCACTGAAACCAACCACAAAACAGAAGAAAATTTCATACCACTAGAAGAACAACAGCTGGCGTTCTCCTTTCGAGTGGATCTTCCCTTGAATCTTCCCCACTCTGTCCGAGCCAACTCGTGTCGATATTTCTACGCCGTCATGGTAGGAACCCGGGTCCGACTGTCCAGAAATTATCAGTGGTTACGACATGCCGTTCCCATTCAAGTCTTGTCACAGCGGCCGGATCATCCATTATTGGCGGCTCCGCCCAAAGCTTCTGGAAAAAGTCCCCCGACAGTCTACCCCATGGGCGTTTGTGCGGCCATGGCACATTCGGCAGGATTACCCTGTCACGTGACGGCCACCCAACTCTATCAACCGCCCGGTCAGATACTCGTCAATCGACGGGGTACGTCCACCTTGGGGTCTCTGGTCAAGTCATCAACAAGTCCTGTACAACAACAAGCTCTCCAAACCATGCGGATTACAGATTTGACGGGGATTCCTTGCTGCGTCTTGACCGTCATGGGTGTCAGCACGGCCAGTCCAGGATCTCGCATGGTCTTGAAATTTGATTTTCCTACTCCAAGAATGCAACAACAATCATCATCAAAATGGACTCCGTGCTATCAAGTCAGTGCGTCGTTGGAGGGAGAGGAGTTAGCACTGTACGCGTCACTGGATGGGACACAAAAGCGAGCACAAGCCTACCAATTTGATACGGCACATGAACTAGTCGACCCAGAATGCACCGAACGGGTGTGTCTATCACTCCAAGTACCACTGGATGCACCTACTACCGTCAGTACCGATATGGTTCGAATTTCCGTGAAATGCATTATTGACATTACAGTGGCAAGTGGCAACAACAACAACACGAAAAAGAAAAATAACGCCCCAACCTATAGCAATCTACGGCTGGAATTGCCCGTTCGAATGGTCGCGCCCATGACGGAATATGAAATTATCTTGTCGGGAGAAGACGAGGAACAAGATGAAGACGATGCCTATTTGAAATTGCCATTGGATGAACTCATTCTAGGACGATCGTATCGCACCGGCGCTGTGGATTTTGATCTTGATGATGATTCACCGCCACTAATCGCAACCGATGCTCTGCGACAAACCAGCAGTCCCAGTCATCCCAGCAGTTTTGCTACCAAAGGCATTCAGCAAGACTTGACAATACTGTCTCTGCGAATGGCGGAGGACTGCCAGTTGATAGCTAGAGAGTAGCAGGCCAAAATGGGAGAATAATACGTGATTTTGCTGGGTACAACATGCATTTTTGTGAGAATGGTAGGCTGTCAGGACTGACCTCGGTCTACCTAGCAGGCAACATTCTTGCGGCCTCCTTGGGCTTTACCTCCTCCTCGAAAAAGGTGTGATCCTGCTTGAAAGGTGCCAATTATGCATGACTGGCCTCAGAGTCGAATCTTCTTAGCTTCTTCTTAGGGGAGCCCCCATGCTACGTGTGACTGCTGCTCGCCAGAACTATGCAGAAAGGCGTGTGATACAAAGGAGCGCTTTCGAGCGAGAGGTTCTTTTGTGAGGCACGTACCGGCAGTACCTGATTTGAAATTTTCGAGGAAAGATTCCTTTTCCTCAAAAGATCTGCCAGTGCTTGGGGCTTTCAAGTTTTGATGCAGAGGTCTTCCTTGTGTCGCTTGCTCCACAACTTCTTGGGCAAACGTATTAGAGTTGCTAGCTAGTAGATTGCGTTGCCCTTCCACCATGCCGAAGCAACCGGCTAATATCATGATATCCAAGAAATTCGAAGTGAAGGTGGCCCTTCTGGGCTACGTCTCTGTCGGGAAGACTACGGTTCTGAATGCAATGCTTCGCGCGAAATTCAGTGAAGTTTCCATGATGCGCACAACCGCTGGGATAAACTTGTTTCGTATCATCAATCCGGATCCCAACAGCGACGCTGAAGTCGGTCCCTCAGGCAACAGGAACTCCAGCAGCGACCAGTGGTCAGTAGTGGCAGATCAAGAGACTCAAAAACCAGCAGATGTGTTGAGGCAGATCGAAGCATCCAATCAGTCCCTGCGTGGAACTCGAAAGATTGAAGAGAAGCATTTCAACGTTGAGCTGGAAGAACCTCTGTGCACCACTAGAAATGATACATCGTTGGTGATTGTGGACGTGCCGGGTCTAAACGAAGCTGATTCGGACAGCATCTATGTCAAGTACGTTGAAGACAACTGGAAGAGCTTTGATTGCGTGGTTGTCGTGATGGATGCCCGCCAAGGGGTCAATACAGAGGAGCAGATATCTCTCCTCAAGTTGGTTACCAAGAATCTTTCATCAAAGAAAGATATCCCTACCATCATTTTATTCAACAAGGTTGATGAACCCGATGATTCCCAACAAGCGATGATGGTGCAAGAAGCCAGGCAGAAGATTCAAGAGATGTTCTCTGTTGGGTGCCGCAAGGAGTCCCTCGGGACCTTGCTCAGAACAACCAATGGCCCATCCGAGATTCCTTCTGATGCGTATCCAGTCTTCTTGGCAACTTCTGCCATCCATGCATTCTTCTACCGGACAGCTTCTCTTCTGACCTTTGAAGAGTTCAAAAATAAGTTTGACAGCGAGCTTATTGACATGATTGGGCGAGAAGAAGTGGGGCGCTTTCGATGGAAGAAACTGTCCGAGGATGAAAAATACGAGGCTGTGTATGAGTCTGTGAGGGCCGATACAAACTATCAGGAGCGCTTGGAAGCCACAAACTTTGACAAGTTCCTATCTATCCTCTCGGTTGCAGTTGGAGGAGTGGATAATCAAGGAAGGATTCTTGAGAAGCAGCTTGACGTTGCAGTTGAGTCTCTAATGGAAAATGATGGCATTTCAGTCTCAGTCCTCCGGTCCATCCACGACAAGAGCTTGGTGCTCGGCAAAAATCTCAGCCATCTCAAACGGCACTTTTGGAAGCTCTACAAGAGGTCGAAAGAAAAGGCCACGAAGGCCTTCGTTGATGAGTTGGAGGTCAAGCCACTTGCAAGTGCAGCTAAACTCCTTTCGACGTACTTTTCGTTCGCTCGTGCTCTTGGATGGAGAGAAGAAGAGAATCTTATCCGCACTGAGGTCTGTAAGCTTGTGAAGGTTCAGCTTGGAACCATAGCAAACAAGCAAGGATTGAAGCGTTTTCAAGGCAACCTCTGCGGCCCATGCTACACAAGATCCACAGCGAATAAGAAAACCTGGGAAAGCCTTTCTCTGAGTGACTGGCTTGCATTGTTGGGGTCTATTCTCATCATGGCCTACAACAGAGACTTCTGTGAGAACTTCAGCCACGAGAACATCCTGTTGTCTCAACTGAAAGGAAGGTTTATATCATGCCTTCACCTGTGGCAAATCCCCTGTGACTGCAGCACGTGTTTGCAGGTTTCGGTAAGCATATATAACAGAAACAGCAGTGGAGGAAATCAGACCGTATCTTGCAAAGGTGCCACGAGTGCACGCCGATGCTCCAATTGTGGTTCAGCTAGTCCCTTGTGTCGGAATGTGAATTTCTTGCAAGGAAGTGATGATTGGAGCCTCAACTATTCCGGTGGAATCACACAGGTCGTTGCTGCTGCAAGATCAAAGATGAAGATTGAGGTTCCAGACAATCTTGCCGATGAGGAGCATTGGGGCCACGTTGCCTGGAAGTGCTGCAAGCTTTTGGAAATGATGGACAGGAGCAACTAGGTAGGTAGGTGTTTGATGATAGAAAGTCGTTCCAGTAGACACCAGAGAGAGAAGAGAAAGAAAAAAGTGTGAGCGAGAGAGCACCAAGCAGCATGCATGGATCGTCAATTCCCTGAATGGTGTTAGTGCATTTTGCATGGTGCATACAAAAACTAGGATAATGTTTCGCGGTGTGAATGCCGTGTCTTTGCCCCACCCACCGTACCAGTACCAGGTACCGTACGGTACGAGTAGTGCCCCCACTACATGTACAATGGGTGGCCTTAGCTGCACCTAAAACGAGCCCTTGGAGGTGCCTTCAAAGGGTGCATACTCGTATGACTTTGCATAGCCACCGATTACCGGTACCAGGTTCCAGGTACCGTATGGTGGCGGTGGTGCAGTAGCGTCATCGAATGCTACAGTACAGCGTACAGTACCATGGTACCGGTACTGATACCGTAAAAGTACTAGGGCATCTTTCCAATAACCCTTTCACTGTACGCTGTACAACATTGTACTGGTGGTCTGGTGGTTGCTCTTGCATGCGATCCCGTGTTGCTCTAAGTGGGGCTTGCCTGCGTGTTGCACATATATCTTTCTGGCGCGGGGATGGTTTGTCCGCTGCTTTCTCATGAAACGTCCCACTTCGGGATTCGATTCTCTTTCCATTCTTTCTCTTCGAATGACAACACCAACTTCTTCAAAGGCAAGTCTTCAATCCTCAACAAGTCAAAGTTTGAGCATGAAAGCGGACGACCCCAACAAGTCGAGCAACAATAGAGGTGGCGGTTTTGTTGATGAGGTGGACCAAGAAGCGCCTGAAGAATCAGGAAAAGTGGTCGCACCGGTGGAACCCCCAGAGTTAGAGAAGCCGCCCTCTGATGATGATTTCGAAGACTTGACCTCTCCACTCCCCGAAGATGTCTTTAGTCTCCTCTACGTCTGCAAGCCTTGTGGATTTACCTGTATCTATTGCATCCTTGTGTTTATGGTACAAGCCTCGATAATTTTTTTGATCATGGCAGATTTACTGAAAAATGGCACCGCCCACAATCCCCTCAGTGTGCCGCCTGGTGTGAACGTCGAAGTCACACTCGCACAGGCAGTCTCCATGTTACTGGCTGTGTCGACACAGACCAATTTATTGACGGCCATTTCACGAATGTCCCTAGGCCAAAGCTACGATCATGCATATGTTCTGACTATGAATCCAAATGCTACCCATGCGGATTACTGGATATCAACCATTTTGCAAATGTTTGTGGGACTCGCCATGTTGGTGGACAGTTTTATTCTCAATATGCAAAGTACATCGGTACTGACTTTGATGCTGAACTTTGCAGCCTTGGCATTTATTTCGGAAGTTCAACAGACCTTTTTTTGGATTGCCAAGAATGGATACATTAGCAGAACGGTGGAGGAAGATACCCGCTTGGTTACCAACTTTCAAATCCCCCGTCATTTTCACAAGGCATCCAATCCATACCTTCCGTACCTAAAGCGAGTTCTTTTTGGCCTCATCACGGGACTCTTGCTGTTCTTTTATGGAATGTTGGCGCAACAACAGATGAGCGGCAAGTTCATATGCAATCAACTCGTGGCCCAGTTTGGTGATGAAATCCGTCCTGATTTGGCTTTCTACAGTGGTATTTTCCTTCAGAAAGAAGGAGAACTTTACAATGGCCGTGCTGTGTATGAGGATGCGAAGAAAAAGGGAGCCTATTTTGCTTATTGCAAAGAAGAACAGGTAGGCAATTTTTATACATGCAGAGTTTCTTTTCTCCTCATATACCCGTGGTTCTAACTCCGATGTGATTGCGTTTGTCGTGTTTCTGAACAACGAAAGGCTTGGACGTTTAGTGGGCTAGTGGATCTTGGAGAGGCGAAACTCGTAAATGGCACGGCGACAGCGCAGGCCACTAGCATGAATGCATGCAACTACTGGGCCAAATCGCAGGCAACTGCCACATACGACATTATCGAAAGTTATCAGCAACCATGGTTAGTCAGGGACTACCTTGCCAATCAGACCAATCAAGTGGATCATTTCGTGTTGGCTTGTAATGATTGTGAGGGGAACCGTGCCAGTCAAGATTGCAGTGGTCATGGCACTTGTGACAACAATCAGTGCGTATGCAACGAAGGGCGCATTGGTGTGAACTGCGAATATCCGATTCCCTGCCCGAGATTGGCGCTGGACACGCGAACTGAGCCATTGCCCTATGCTGAAGGCGGCCTTTTTGTACCTCCCACCGACTACGAGCTGCTGACCTACGGGAACGACTCAATACCAATTTTGGTGTACAACAAGCCCGTGTACTTTGCGAGGCTGGGAAAGAGCGGTGTGCCTGTGACCGTGATTATGTTTACGGGACGTCGATGGGGTCTCTTTTTGAATTTGGAATTCTATGACGCAAACGAACTACAACAGTTGAAGGAGAATCTGCACACCTATCTTCCCGTTGACTTCCATACCTTTTATTCCACACACAAAGTCTACTTCTTCACCGACCCCATGGATTTGGGATCTCCTTCGGATGGTGCCAGCCCGGTAGACTTGCAGTGGTATCACTCCAGAAAGCTGCTCAATCTGGGCACGAGGTCTCTATACCGAGTGGACCATAATCAGCCCACAAATACCGTGTTTCTGTGCCCAGTTTGCCAGCCAGTCGTGAACAACTGTCTCAACGGTGGGACGTGCGTGACACCAGAGTTCGACGAGAGCAATCTAATTGAATATTTGACTGTCGAGGGAACATGCAACTGCACAGATGGGTTTGTTGGTGAAATGTGCGAGCGACAGCAAAATTGCTATGAAGAGATGGCACAATGCTACAATGGAGGCAATTGCACCATTTCCACGGGATCTTGTAGTTGCCCTTTCCCACACGCCGGAAAACTGTGTCAGTACCGAATGTCAGATGAATTCATCGGAGTGTATACGCAAAGCTTGGTAGACTCAGGGCAGATTTCCGAGGAGAACGCGATCGAGGCACTGAACCTGACCATTGGACCCCAATCGTGACGTCGGCTGGTTTATGCATGTCATACTGCTGATTGGTTGAAATTTGTAACTTACTTAGTCTCATGTATCAGTTGAGTGAATGGTTGCTCGAGCAACTACGATAATGCGTACTTGGGGTAGTCCCCCATGCATCAATTCAACACTCGACTTTCCGTCTGCAAGCCGTCAAGTGCATCCCAAGCGTTGTCAAATTACAGATCGTCGTCACCGGTACGACTGTACCGGTATATGGGGCGAGGCGGAAGAGCTGGAGGAAGCATGATGTATCTTCGAAGTGTCATGGCGCATAGTTTGCCTTTGGGACTGTGCGACGGTAGCTGTGTGCAGTGATCTTGCTTCAGTTGCACCCTTTGAAGTTTCCGTGGCTACCATACTACAATCGTCCAAGCCAATGATGCTCCCTACTACAATTGTGCAAGCCAATGATGCTTTTACGCCTGTTGTAGCTGGTTACTAGCTACTACTGGGTTGCTACGATCGTCACCTTTTTCTATGCAGGTTGTCTTTGAATTGACTGCGTATTACCAAATTAGTTTTACAAAAAATGAAAAGCAACGCCGAAAATTTGAGCAACCCATGCACGCCCAAGAATCTCAGAAAGTATCCTGCAGTATTCATTCCTTTTCTTTCTTTTTCTTATCCAGAGCTTCTTGCAAGTAATCCAGGTCCTTGTACCCACCAGCATTGGTCACATTCGCATATCCTTGACCATTTAGAATTTCTTGTGCTTTGGCAGCACGTTTCCCTGACTTGCAGTACACTAGGATGGGTGCTGCAGTTGTCAATGGCAATGAAAAAAGTGAGAACCGAAGAACGACTTCCCACACACAGACAACACCAACCACACTTACTTTTCTTGTCGGAAATCATATGCGGAGCAGCCGCTCGCAGCAAGGGAGCGTCTTCTCTGGTACATGAGACATGAAGCCAAGAACACCCACTCCCCGCGGTTTGAAGAAATCCATCATTGACCACTTCTTCCGGTGTTCGGACGTCTAGTAGAATCACGGGCTTGTTGTCATTCACCACTTGGAGCACTGCGTCCTTGCTAGCAATGTCGGCCGCTGGAGTGGGAGTCGACCCTTCGTCTTCTGTAAGGTTTGCGCTGGACTCTCTTCGTGCCGAGGGTGCGGGTGGATCCACGGCTTCTCGTTGCCGTTTGGGAGCGTTGGGGGACGCTTCTTCTTGTGGTTTGCGCTTTCCGTCCGCAGCCATGGCACCACTTGCAGAGCTCGATTAAGAAATCAAATGAGGACAATAGCTATCAGCTGTGTAGCTTCTATCGGTACCAGTAACACAGATGGTACCTTGACGATGGATTGCTTGATACTCGAGTGGTACCAGTTAGTTGTTCAATCTACTCCTAGCAAACTGACTTCTTATTATGCTGCGTGCATGTGCGACCTGGGTTTGTGCGCGGTGCGTGGGGATCTTCGCCAAACGGGATGTTGTTGAGGTTTGAAAAGACTGTCAAAAGTAACGGTGGAGTGTGGTCATTCGAGATTTAGAGCCAATGGCCATTCAGTCCGGCTGTGCGGCTTAGCTTTGAGAAAGAGAAGAGAAGTCTGAATTCCAGAAGACCGCAGCGACGTAACCACACAGGGTTTGCAACCACCAACCGCCTCATTCAAGCAACACCAAACACAGAGCTATCACCTTGGCGAATCCCTTGTTTGTACTATAGCCAGCGTACTTGTGTTTGACTAGCTAGCGTAATCTTCATGTCATCGAAATCTCTTGATGCTAGCAGTGAGAACGACTTGGAAGCGGTAGAAGGCGCAAACTCGAACGAGAATGATTATGTTTCTGCGACAGAGATCTCGTCTGATGACCGTGAGTTGCTGCGAGAAAAGCTGGCAAGGGTGGAAGATGAAGTGCTGAGGAAGACCTCTGTCGCGAGAGCACCATCCACACAGCAGAAACCAGAGGCGTATCCTTCTTCCAGTGAAGCGAGAAGTGATTGGATCGAGAATTCGTCGAGCAACGCCGACACAAAACAAGCCCAGCCTACAATGAGTACCGGTGCTGATGACGAGCTGAAACCAGCGCCGATCAAGTCACAGCCAGAGGAGATTTTTCAATCTGAACCCCCATCACAATCACTACTCTCTGAAGTAGCGCCAACGAGCTCCAAAGGCGTCAACAGAATTCGGAGAATGACCAAACGAGGCTTGTCCCACAACAACAACCCCAGCAATAATCAGGTGCTTCAGCGACCTAGTGTGGTTCGTAGATCGGGAAGCAATGCAAGCGGAGCCTCGGCCAAGGGACTCTCCAACAACCGACACAACAACAAAGGCAACAGAAGTCGAACCAGCTCCGTTTCGAGTCAAAATTCTGGAGGCAACTACAGTGATGATGACTTGGTGATTCAGGAAGGACCTGGAATCATGGATGGCTTTCCTGATCCGTTTGCCCACAAGGTTACCACCGTACAGATTCCGCCTGCATCTCATATGGACAACAATTCCACTGCTGAGTCTCCTCCTCTCACAAGTCTTACGTTGGATGACCACTATTCCGCTCCGGGAGGCTATGCCGTGGGAGGCCCGGCACCCTATTTGACCCCTACACCCAGCGTACACAATGATGAAGAATTTGATGATGAAATTGACAATCGTCGTGGTGATGAGAGTGTCTTGGTGGAGGCAACATTGGTGCCGGACGAACAACCCCGAAGCTTTCGTCTTGCCAACACTGCATCATCCATTGTGGTGGAAGCCAAACCGTTGTCCATGCTACTCTCCAACCGTCTCGTCGTGGTGGGCATTCTGCTCCTGATTGTCGTCATTGTGGCCCTGGCCGTGGGACTGGGAGTGGGTGGCAGCAACAACAACGCAATGGAAAATTCAGTAGTGACAATGACAACAAACACCACCGCAAGTCCCACAGCAGCTCCTGTCCCGACATTGCAGAGAATTCGTGACACTGGCATGCTTCGGTGCGGATTTGAACAAACATTCAAAACCCTCCGCGAATTCCTCAGTGAGCTAGATCCTCACCATGAAGAATTGGCCGCCAGTGCAAACTTGAATGTGCCCAGCCAATATCAGGGATTTCGGGGCATCTTTGACTTGGGATTGGTGAGTAGCACTGCGCTGTTTAGTTTGGGGGGGATTCAAACTGGCTGCCTCTAACGTTTATCATTCTCGTTGGTCAGTGTCAAGCCATTGCGTGGGCCATCAACGGCGAAAACGCCACCTTTGAGGCATATGCCGTCACAGCAAGCGACAAGCATGAAATGCTCCTGAATGGGACAATTGATGTGATCGTGACAAAAGCATTCTTATCCATGGAAAATGATCTAGCCGAGCCAACCACGGGAGAAGGGTTTTCCTACTCCACCTCATTTATTTCCTCTGGGAATGGGTTTTGTGGTCTGCCACACAATGTCGAGTGCGCAGAAAATGGTATCAACACGATTGGGAACTGCAGTGATACTGTCATGTGCGTATTGAAGGGTTCCGCTTTCCGAGATGACCTAGAACGCGTTGTCCCGCAAGGTCGGTTGTTGCCAAAGGAAAATCCTCGCGAGCTGCTGTTAAGTTTCATCGCGGGGTCTTGCAATGTTGTAGCGTCCGAAACCTTTAAAGTTTTTGAAATGGTGCTAAGGCCGGCGGGATATCAGGGTGAGTTTGCTACGGGGACAAGAGAGGCAACCAGGGAACTTTGGGCAATGGCGACAAGAGAAGACGACACCGAGTGGGCCAACTTTGTCAACACAGTCATTCTTGGTCTCGTAGCAGCCGAAGAACGCGGGATTACCAAAGAAACAGCAGATGACATGGGAGAGGTCCACCTTTTTGGCGGTGAACCACTACAATACAGCCGAATGCTCATCAATGCGGTCAAAGCAGTGGGGAACCTTGGGAATCTGTACGACAAGTCAATTGGATGGATCTTACCCCGTCTGCAAATAAACCATGTCAACAACGGAACAACTGGATTGCTTTTCTCATCCGAGTTTGGAGATGAAGTTATCACAGGTCCTGGACCCAGGGAAGGAGGCGTGTTGGAAACCGTGTTGCAAAGGGGCAGCTTGAGATGTGGCGTACGACCCGATCGGCCAGGATTCGCAACTTTTGACGTCACGACGACGACAGCATGGAAAGGTTTCGGCGTCGACTATTGTGTTGCTCTTGCTTCGAGTCTCTTCCAAGGAAGGCCGAACTCGGTCGAATTTGTGAACGTCATCAGTGCTAGCGAGGGGTTTGAAGCTCTTCAGGGAAGGCGGGTTGATGTATTAGCGGGGTCGGTATGGACGATTCAAAATAACATGCGAGAACCCACGACGCAACAAAGCTATTCATTCACCAAACCATACTTCTATGGGCCCGTTCGAGCGGCTACAAACGCAACAAGAAGGTACGTGCATCCTGTGATTACCTCTCCTCTCGCTTTATTCCGATCAAGCACTCACAAAACATCTGCGTTTTCGTTTTCGTCCTAGTTTCGATGAGAATCTGTGCCTTGCGACTCGGCAAGATGACCCACAATGGTCGTCTTTTGTCTATTGGACAGCTCAATCTATCGTGTATGCAGAAGAACATGGAATCACGCAGCTTTCATCGAGCAACATGCCCTTGACCAATCTGTTTGGTGCCGACTTGACCAGAATGTTTCGTGATGCGGTTCACGCAGTTGGCAACTTCGCGCAAGTGTATGCACGGAATCTAGAACCCCGCTTGCCGAGAGGGGGGCGCAACAGGCTCACTCGTGTGGGTGACAACACTCCGTTGCTTTACGTGCCCCCTGGCTTCGACTAGAAGGAATCGTCGCTAGTTTAAAAGAGTGCGTAGTCGTACCTTCCGGAAAAGCGAAAAACCAACATGAGACTACAACATAGGAATGATTGAATCGCTTTGTGGAATCTGAGCAGTACTGCCTCACGATCCAACTGGCTAGAAGTTAACCTCTGCTGAAATTTAGGAGACTTGTCGCCTGATCAACAGATAACTCTTCTGCCTTCAACCACGATCTCGAGTCATCTTCTGGGGACAGAAGAATCAATCGACTTTTCATCAATATGACCCAATGCCGACACTGTGCGCAATGCTGCTGTGGTAGCCGAACCAGAGGCATTCGCTGTGTTACGATCTCAACTCAGCCAAATCAATGATTCCTTGGCAAACCTTGTTTCATTGTCGAAGCAATTTGACACCCTACTGCTGATTGGAACCTTGTTCTCTCTCACAATTTGCTCCTCATGTTCATCATTCGTGACCCACCAACATCTTCTCAAGCTCGGTTTTCTGATTGAGCGTTCTTTTGTTGATTGAATTATGATTCATCTAGTTTTTTTTAAGCTGGAGTCAATCCAATGGCGGCGGCAAACATGTGGGCATCATGCAATTCCACAATGGCATCAAAATCACCGACAAAACTAATGTCATTGGTGGCAAAATTGACTAGAAAGAGCTGTGGATAGACGGCACGAAGACCCGATATTCGAAATAGATCATTTCGGAGATTGATACTGGCAGGATCTCGGTCACAGCCATCGAGTATTTGAACTTCACCGTTTCCGGAAGAGGACAAGTTCAAATATTCTTGGAGAATGGTTTCTAGTCTGGATTGATTTTGCGCCACCTTGCGATGAATGGGCATGGTGCTGATGAGAAGCACCAATTGATTGCCATTGAGGGTCATTCTTTGTTTTTGATTGGAGGAGGAGGGTGACAGTGATTGTATGGGCGATTCTGGTATTGTTGGCAGGGATCTTTCGGAATAATCCTCGTCCAGTAGTTGGTCATTGCTGTCTCCTTCTTTGTGCTCTGAAGTCTCCGATGCATCAAACGACTCTTCTTGCAGAATTTCGAGACCAGGTTCTTCTGTTTCAGAGACATTATTGTTTTGTTGTGCATAAAATGCCTCGAATTCCTTGATTATATTTTGCAGTTTTTCAATTTCATGTTCTTGCTCTTCCGTCTTTTCTGTGAGAGATTTGACTGTGGATTCTAGGGATTGGATTTCCCTGGATTGTTCGTCTTGTATTGCGAGACTTTTACTCAACAAATGATCTGGCGAATGGTTGGACGTCGAAAGTTCCGCACTAGTGGGTGATCTTTCAGGGGATACGGCATTGCTGGATTGTGAATTATATTGTTCTTGTTGTTGCTGTTGCTGTAATTGATCAATAATATCGTCTCGTTGTTTCAACTGCCGCTTAAGTTGTTCTATTTCCTCTTGTAATTGGCAATTTTCATGTCTGTCATGCTCATGTTGACGTTCTCGCTCTTGTTTTTCATTTTGTCGTTTTTGCGTTTCTTCCTCTTGCAACTTTTTGACTTGCGCCATCAACTCGTGAATAGTATTTTCTTGATTCTTGACGAGAGCCTTGTGTGCTTCTCGCTGTTCCTTGAGCATTCGTATATTGTCGTTGGCTTCCAGCAGCGCTGCCGCTTGGTGCTTGTTGATGATCTCTTGAATGTCTGCTTTTACTTGCATACTCGCTGGTTCCGCCTGTTGTGGCTTCCATTGCGGCTTGCCCCAATTCTGCCATCGTTGCATCATCTTTTTGACACTTGTTAACTATTCACGAAACACTTGCTGAGTTGATTCGATTCTTGTGTCTTTTTACAATACTGATTCTTGCGTGTTCAGTTAGCTTAATTTTGCTGTATCTGTTCTATCCTCTGCTTTTGGACTTCAAGAACCTGTCAGCATTAGTGTCATTCTACAGAGTGAATGTGCCTAACAAAGCGAATGCTGAAGGTGTCTCTGACTTTTGATGACAGTCAAGTTTTCACAGGAACCAGTGCATTGCTGTTGCTGGCAAGACACAGCTGTTGCAATTGTACCGATATGTGGTGGTTGCCGTGGCATGGCTCCTCTTCTTTGGGTTGTCGATTGATGACGCAGACAGTTTCAGACCTCTATCGGAAGGTCGAAACCACGCTTTCCTTTCCACGCACTGTTTTCCACGATATATCAGTACGGTAGGGATGGAGGTAAAATTTGAATTTCAAACGGTCCATTGCTCGAGACAACCTCCTTTTTCTTCCCTTCACTCTTTACATTCAAGTTTTGCACCGACCATGATGAAGAAAATGACGACACCACTAAACCCCAGAGGCACATCGTTACGGCAGCGACATGAGGGTCCCAACAAGAAAAACAATGACGCATATGATGGACTGGAACAACGAAAACTACGAAGGTTGCCTCGTTTCAGGATGATCTATTTGGTGGTGATCCTGTTCCTCGTCACATTGGGCCTCAGTCTTTCCACCGTCAAATCGCGACTGCGAATGTACTACCTGGTTGGCAGTCCCAAAGACTTTTGCCACAATTGCAATAAAACCATAACGTCCCTGCGAACTAGAAATGCCACGAGACTCTGGGAACAAATGGAACAACTGAAAGAAGCCAAATGTCCTCTCCTCTCCACGCACATTCGACAACCCCGTCGCGGCAGAAAGTCCTCCAAATTATCAAAGTCACCACCACCCAAGGCTGCCATTTGTGCCATTGCCAGAAATGAAACAGCCTATCTGGACGAGTGGTTCACATACCATCGAGCCGTGGCGGGGTTTTCAGAGATTTATCTCTTTGACAATTCCAGACCCGATGGAATGGAGCTAACCAACAGTGGTCGGTATGACAACTGCCCTGGCATTTTCATTGTGCCGTGGCCCATGGCGGAAGAGCCGCAGATGGAAGCCTATGACACGTGTGTCTACATGATACGAGAACGCAACAAGAAACAACAACAATTATTAGGTGCTACTACTGCGGAACAAGCAGTGGCATGGACTGCCTTTATTGATATTGATGAGTTTATTGTACTCAAGAATGAAAGGGAAACTATAGTGGATGTCCTCCGGGACGTGGTTCCATTGCCTCCACCGTTGAATCGACTCAAGTATAAACGACCAGCACCTGCTGCACTCTCCATGAATTGGGTCATGTTTGGGACCGCCAACCAAACCAAGTACAGAGACGAACCCGTCACCAAGCGGTTCCAATTTAAAGTCAATGGTTATGGAGACAATCATGTCAAGCAAATCCTCTTGTTGGATTCCATCCGGTATGCTGGCAATCCTCACTTTGCCTTTTTGAAACAGCTCTTGTCACATGAATTCTATACGGTCATGTCCAATGGAACCAAGGTCGCTAATGAATTTCCCTGGATTGATCCTGCCGCACGAAACCGTGTGGTAGTGCACCATTACACCATCAAATCAGTGCAAGAATACCAGTTCAAGGGATGTCATCGAGGACGTGCTGACCTACACACCAGTCATGAAGCCCACAAGACTCACTGCAATAAAGTTGGCTTTGTGGGTAACATCCATGATGACACTGCCTGGAAGGCATTGATAAAATGGGTGCCAGAGTATGGGGAACTATACAACAACTAACTGATGATGTAATTGAACCAGACAGCCAAGCACCTCCTTGCTTGGTTTTTGACAAACATTTGTACCACTGGTTCAATCTCTTTGCTGTGGTACTGCATGTGGTTCCCAACTCATCATAACAAAATAATTAGTGAACCTGCCTACAAGTAGAGTGCTGTTTCCACTCCACTAGCTACCGCTAGCGAGAGCTACCGTATCCTTCTTTTATTGCCTCTTGATGTCTTGCTTTTCTATGTTTTATCATTTGTGGATTGATCTCTCTTGGGCAAACCATGTTCAAACTGACGTGCCAGCTTCACGAAAAACTCCAACCTTAGTGCAACAGAACCGAAAAGATCCAGCGACGATGCCCGAGCGAGGTGTCTTGCTACCCTTCTTTCGACACCTCTCTTTATGATACCTCTTCGACTCTCTTAGTCTACGTATCACTGTCGCCACTTGAGAAGATAGGAGGATAAGCAACAAAGATTGAAGTAGAGTACCGGTAGTACATCCAGAGAAAGCGAAAGATGAAGATTCGTCAAATCCTGCTGTGCTTCCATTTGTTGCTTCCCCTGGTCCATGGGCAAGTGAGTCTACCAGGTCAAGACGCAGCCGAACCAGAAGCAGAAGAACAAGTCCCTGCTGAAGTCACCATTAGTGACGATAATGCTTGTACTGGCGAAAACAGTTGCCAAGAGAATGATGTGACGACCATGACGATTGGTCCCAACGCCTGTAATGGGAAAGAGGGCTGCTCTTCCAACAAGGGGGAAACGCTCCGTGTGGGAAATGGAGCCTGCAATGTACGTTAGTATGGTAAAGTTGAACCCGCTCTTGTACATGTAGTTCAGTCGTTCTCACACTTACTTGCTTTTTCATGCATGCAGTCTGCCAAGGACATTACCGATGCGGAATGGGTCGGGCCGCAAGGAAGTACGGGCACATGTTCGTTCAACTCGGGCAACTTGATTGCGGGCAACCTCGGATGTACAGGAGCGGGGGCTTGCACCTACAATAGGGCCAATTTACAGACCGGTCCAGGTCCTCGTGGATGTACAGGGGAGCTCTCCTGTTCCTACAATGGCGTCAATCTATTTGTCTCGGACGAAGCCTGTGGTGGTGATGGATCGTGTTCCGGCAACAATGGTACTGGAACGACGACCATTGCCCTGGGTGCTTGTTCTGGGGACGGATCATGCCGCAATAATCCAGGACGAATGTCCATTGGAGAGAAATCTTGTACGGGGGAGAATTCCTGTCAGAACAATCTACAGTTTCGCGAGACGTTGACGATTGGCAGCAATGCCTGCACCAAGGACAATAGTTGCAATCAGTGTCCCGATGATGTGCCCGATGGAGCCGAGGATTGCGAGGGTGGTGTCCCTCCTCCAGATCCTCCGACTGTCACCAGTGATCCCGCCACGAGCAGCAGTAGTAAGACGATGATGATGGCGGTTTGGTTGTTGCCATTGACTTGGTTGCTTCTTTCTTGACTCATTCCACTCTCTCCTTGCAGCTGACAGCCCCGCCGCCGAAAGCGAGACTGCAGCTCCAGAAACAAGCAGCTCGGCAACGGATAACAGGGCACAACAACTACATCAAGTAGTAGGGATTTGGTTGACTGGCGTGATGCTTTCTTTATTATTGGTACATTCGAATTGACTTGACTTCATTAATCAGTCAGCTTGCAGATAGGAATAACCAAACCAGTAGTCTGCGTTGTCCTTAGGATCATAAAGCTACCATCATAGTAGCTAGTAGGTGTAGATGCCCAGACTCCTCGCGGTAGCACCCATCAACTTTGTGAATGGGAAATCAGTCTTTGACCCCATAGCTGCTCTTCGCCTTGCTTTGCAAACTGCGAACAATGGGTCGGACCAATGTGACTACGGATTGCGACAGCCAGGAGGAGTCCGTATTGTCACTCGAGCACCAACTGCAACGACGTGGCTGTTGGAAGAGCGGGAAGAAGCTTATCAAGATGCAATTCGTCCCAGTTCTCGTGCACACTTGACTTGCCCGCGGGACTCTGCAGTTTCATCTAGCGAAACTCAACGCGTGACACTCCCCCCTGAGGCGTCTCGAACAGTGAATTGTTACAATATTGTCCTGGGATTTTGTCGTGCCAGCAACGATACTGGAATCTACCTCGGGATATGTGTTCGTTTCTACATCTACATGATGTATATGTTTCTGTTTGTACTGCACGCTCACTTATAGCCTTTTTTCGTGGACCTTCTTAGTTCCGCTTCAGACGGTTAGCGCAACTATCTCATTTCAAACAGATATTGCCACCCCGAACTCCCTCGACAGGTTCCACGGAGATTCTGTCATTTGGACTAATTCCATGTAGTGCTACAATTATCGCTGCATCTAATCGCTATTGGTTGGTTGTGATTCAGTTTGTTGCTTACAAGCTAGCTGCGAGTTGTTGTGCTAGAGTGAGTCATATTGGGTGTCTGAATGAACGTCGAGCGGATGGTGGATCGTCGATGCACGTTGTTATGAAAGAACCATCCTTTCCCTGTGGGCAAGGTCTACTCCAATGATTATGTGATTGTCGATGACGCATTCATTTATTTTCACACAAATTCCTCCTTCAACACCTGTGGATTGGCTCGCAACAAATTGTAAATGGTATCCAACTGCAAAACATGTTCTTGCGGCGAAATGCGCACGGAGTAAGCGGCAAAAGTTGCCGATGCCAATTGGACGGGACACAATTTCGTGACGGGGTCCATTTCTGCCAGTGATTCGGGTGCTGCTTGCCACAAGAGCTGCAACGGACCCTTTGTGTTGTTGTTTGTGGAATTGCTTTTTTTATTACTGTTTTTGGAAGAAGCGGTCGCAGTACTCCAAAAGTATCCCGAGGCAATGGCTTGTACAAAGGGCGATCGTCCCTTCCATTGTTCTCGTGCAGCTTGTGGATACGCTTGCAACAATTGTTCGACACAATAGGCATGTCGTGTCCAAAAGACGGTTGGATTATTGGTATTGGTATCAAATCGTTTTCGCGTGGCGACTGTCAAATGAAGCGGCAAGACTCCATGTCGATTGGGATAGGAAATCATGTGTGGATATCCTCGTAGAATGAGCCGTGTGACAACGGGAGGACAATATGCCGCGACGTGTGCCAATCCATGTACCATACTGATCATCATACTGGGGAAATGCGCCGACCAGGCCGCTTTGAACAAGAGTTCCAATTTGGCTTGAAACGTATCCAACAACGTCGTGTTGTTGTTTCGTCGTCTCGTGTGATTGTCGTCGTCGTCGTCATTCACAGTAGCCATTTGACTACTAAAATCTCGAATGAGCTGGACTTGATCGAGTGGTCGATTGTGGCGTACATGGGCGGGTGATTTGCGTTGGATTTCGTAGTGCACGGCCAATTCAGTCAAGGGCGTGGCACCGGTTTGATCGGCTTGACAGACCATGGCCCCGCCGGGAACCAATCCAGCGGGAGGATCCAACAAGGCTTGAATGACCTGTAGCGAGGCACCAGTGGCACAGGCGACCAACAAGGGCGTCGAGTGATCTCGCGATCGCATCGTGTGAATCTGCAAGGGTGACGGCGAAACGGCACTGGCAGCTGTCAATAAGGCTCGTACGGCTCGAGCGGGTGGTGTATTGTAACAAGCGACATGGAGTGCCGTGTTGCCCCATTGATCGGTCGCCACCAATTGTTGCGTGGCACACTGAATGCGGTTCTTTTGCCATTGCAAGACACGGTCGGGAACACTAAGGGTAAAGATCTCTTCCAGGAATTGACAAAAGGCAGTCAGCGTGTCCCAATCATGCGTCGTCGCGGCTCGCAACAAAAACTCATGATCCAAAATGGCGGCATGGAATTGAGACGACAAGGTCCCATCTTCTTGGGTGTGATGGTAGTAGTACGAGTCGCTGTGATGATGATGAGTCATTGTCTTGGCAGTTCGAGTGCTTGGAAATAAAAAGAGCTTTGAATGTTCTGTTTGTCTTTGGCTGCAGAGTATGGCTGGCTTCCAATGATCCACTTTGGGCTTCGGGTGCTTGATTGGTCGGTGTCAGAGTTATGATAGTTGTGAAGGAGTCAGTTTGTTGACAACACAATTGAGGAATGCTTTTGCAGTTGCGTTCTCATGCCTTCATCGAGAGTGCGACCAATGATCGCCGAGACAACAAACGTCAACAGTCTCACTCTCATCAACAAATCAAAAACTTACTGGCAGAATTTTTGGGGAACTGGTCACAGACGTGGGAACGTGTCACTTAAGTATTGACAGCTGGGAAAACATTCCTGCCCGGTTCGTGATGAGAAGTGGCTTCTTGAATCTTGAATCTTTCAGTTATACGACTGTAGTCTGACGATTGTCTGACGTCATAAGAGAAAAACTCTCCTTTTCCAAAAAGAAATTCGAATGTCACCAGACTTTTCGATTGAATAATTCGATTCGACCCACCACAGCAACACAAACAGACACCAAGAGCCCAACAACAAGCAACACAACACCCGACCCGACAACGTTCAGTGCCCACAGTACGACCTGTACCAGGTACTTGTGTTGTTTATTCTATCCCTGTTATATACAGACCATGCCTCGTTTAGTCGGTCCCACTGCTCCGCATCGTGGTGAAGGGAGAGGCTCCAGCCATAGTCGACGAGACGCATCCGGAAACAAGACGATCAAGGAGAAGAATAAGGAAAAGCGAGAACGCGCTCGCGACAGCAGTAACAGCAACAACCTGAGCAGCAAGACCAGTCGAGAAAACCTCAGTAGCCGAAACAACAGCAGTGAGAAACTCAGCAGCAAGACCAGCCGCGAAAATCTGGTCAAAAAAGACAGCAAGAATAGCAGCACCACTGCGAATGCATCGTTTTCGGCCAAACAATCATCATCATCATCCACCGCACCCAACGATGCCTCGTGGACTCCACCACTCTGGTTGACCAAGGTGAAACCGCCTCATCGAACACGAAACTTGACCATTCCCATTCCACCCGTGCCAGCCGACACTCGCAAGGCCATTCAGAAATACATTGAAAAACAACAACCCCCCTACCACAAGCAACAAGCCCAAATGCAACTGCTACAAAACAAATTAAAGGGACAAAAGGAAAAGGCCAAATTGGCACAGAAAAAACTAGACAAGTTGGAAGAGAGCAAAGCCGAACGAATCCAAGAAATCAAAGTCATGAGTCAAGAAGAATTGGAGGCGAAATTCCAAACCATCCAGGAAGAATTGGAAAAGGAGCATGCGGCAGCAGCCAAGGCACACGAAGAAGAATGGAAACAAAATACCGAAAAAGAAGCGAAAGCGGCCAAACGACAATATAAAAAAGAACAAGCGGAACTGGCCGAAAAAGACCGGGAAGCACACCAACAAAAAGTACAAGAGGAATTAGAATTGCAAGCAAAACAGGCCAAAGCCAAGGATGATGACGACGACAAGGACTTGCTTCCGAGTCAAAAATTAGAACGAGAGCATGCCAAAGTAAAGGAAAAATTGGACGGTCTCAAAGAAACCAAAAAGGAAATTGTGTGGCTGCTCAAGCAGGTCATCAATGCCGAAAAGAAGCGAAAGGCACCAGAGCCCCACATGCCACCCAAAAAGAAGCAAATAAAACTTTAGGGGAAGTATGTGGCAGGATAACTCTTATTTAGTTCGATTCGACCAGCACTCTAGCCACCGGTTAGTATTATTAGAAGTAATCTGTGTACCATACACTAGACTTCTTACTTGCAATTATTGTAGATTTGTGTCTTTCCAAAACAAAATACGAAATGTCATGCTTTATTCCTCAACCGCCCCGTCAACTTATTCTTCTTGGCGACAACCTCCTCCATGCTCTCGTCACCACTATCGGTATTCTATCCAACAATGAGGTTCGAAATGACAGCTCAAATATCATCAAATATCATCAAATATCCAACAATCAATGAGGCGGAAGGCGGAAGCAAGCTTTGCAGTACTGTAGTCTAGCGTGAGGAAGTGGAAGAAAAAGAAGCCTGCACGCCTGTTTTTGCACTGCTCCGTGGCCGTTGGATCTTGCATCTTGCAATCTCCAAACAACACACAACCAGCAATCGACGGAGAGTGTTGCTTTGACGTCCTGAGTAGGCGGATAAGAGATAAGAAGGACTACCCCAGTCAAACGATTTTCTGGGTAAGAAGGCAGGAGTATGATTGGTGGAGGAGTACCGTTAACTCAAGTAAGACACATGTAAGACACATTAATACATAGAGCGCAAGTCAAGTCCTTTTACGTACCACTGTGCTACCTTGTTAACAAATTCGAGTTCATCGAAAACAGAAAAGAAAGATTCCATCGAAAAGGAGCGGCAATGACACTGTGTGCCGCTCCTTATCAGCCATTATCTCTCATAATGTCTTGTTATCTTGAGATCGCAACACTTCAAGATGGCTCTCGCAGCCACCCAAGAGAATGGTGATGAAAGGAGCAACAATCCTGAGGCTCAAAATGGAGAAATGGGGAGGCAAAGTCAACAGCGAAATTCCCTTGAAAAGAGAGCCCATCAACTTGCCGCGAGCAATTCATATCCAAAGCGAACAAAGGCCACACAGAGTACCCTTGATGGCAAAGTTGCCTTTGATGCATTGAAGGAGTGTGAAATGTGTGTGGCATATGCAAGGAGAAAAGCAGGCCTCCCAGTTCGCATTCCCAAAAGAAAGCACCACCCAAGGTGTGTCAAGAATACAGAAACCAGAGGCAATCCGGAGCTCTACGAAGCCACCATCAAAGCCAACAAGGAATCAGACAGACTAAAGAAACACTACCAAGCGCCACTGAAGACAAGCGAAAAGGGCAGCTGGCGCCACTCAACCAAAGAAGCTGGTGAGAAATTCTTTGCCGCGAGACCACAAAAGAAAAAGAAGCCACCACAAGAGACAATAAACCAACAACTTACAACTGACATGGAAACTGGCAACATGGACACTGGTGCCACCAAACCACCTGCCAAAGTTACCCCGCAAACGCTGTGCCCGGCGGTGGGCAATATGGTGAAAGATGACTCCTTCTGTCAGAAACACAAGTCGAAAGGTCCCCCAATCGCTATGGTAGCATTTGCTAATGAGGTAGCAGAAAAGATTATTGTTCCTGGAGGAAGGGACGAGACGCTATTCAGAGAGCATTTCAGTGGCATCACAATGACAGTTCCTGATTCGCCTGGAGACTTAGAGCCACATTACCACTCTATTGTAGGTACCAAACTGCTTTATGTTGACTGGGTCCGGCTTGGTATTGCTGTGCCTTGCCCATATGCCACCTGCAAAGGAATTCTCAAGAACCACAGAACCAATTTCTCGAAGAATAAGACTTTGTTCCCCATCTTTGGCTTGGACGAAGTTACATGGTGCATCACGATGTCAATGGTCTGTTCCTGTTGCAAGAACGGATTCCATTCAAACGTGGCAGAAGTGCTGGTTGCCATTCCACCATTTGCAGCATCGTTGTATCCGGTGGAAACCAAATATGCCCTCAAAAGAAATTCGCACCTATCAAGAACAGCTACAAATGTATTCAGTGATATAATGTTGACCTATGCAAATGGAGAACTCTGCAGTCGCTTACTTTACAGTGCTATGAACAATACATATGCTCGGAAAGTTGCCTCATTCCTCTCCATGTTGCAACACAAGAAACTGGATGATCCAACGTTCCAACCACAACCATATGTCGAAAAAGATGGAACCTTCATTCGACAATACCCACCCCTTGGTGACACGATCCGTGACATATTCAATGATGCATTGGCTTCCACAAATACGCCCTGGGCAATGAGTGACAATGAGCGGCACACAAGAGAAATACAAAGTGTCCAGTGTAAGGAAGGGATCTTTTGCCAGGACCACACCTTCCAGCCAGTGAAGAATTATCTCAAGAGTCTTGGAGCAGTCGCTGTCTGGGATGCTGCTACCTCAACTGGAGAGATAGCATCAGCCGTTTTGGTTCCTTCAACGAAGACAATCCACTTTGCTCACGCGGCAACAAAACTGTCGAGAAGAGAGGCTTTTTCTCCCAAAGCCATGTACAGTGACACATGGCCCAATAAGGATGACTACTGGGAGACACTCTTCCCTGGAATCGAAGGACTCCTTGGTCTGTTTCATTTTGAAAAGAGGATAGTATCAACAATGAAGAAGGGTCATATCGATTACATGGATGCATTGAATGACTTGCTCTATTGCTTGTACTTGTACGAACCTTGTGACTATGAGAAACTGCTTCGCTGCCTCAGAGACGGTTCGCTGTCAGTCAATGGGAAGTGTTACTCTTCTGCTGAAATAGCGGATCTCAAGGCATCCAAATTGTTCAGAGATTGATACGCAAAATACCTTCGAAAAAGAATGCGTGAACCTGAGACGATGGTACAGATGTTAGATGACTGGTTCTGCAAATACAAAGTGACGGCCTCGAGTGACAGCAGACCTGGTAGAGGCCGAATTGATCCAGTGAAAGAGATCACCTTGTTCTCCGCAGACACCAAGAATGCCATCAAGAACTGCAAGGAAAAGGCTTGTCATTTGGCTGATCCAATGCCACTTGAAGAAATGTATGATGCCATTTCACCCAATCCAAACAGCAAACATCAACTTACAGAGTGGCTGTCACGGAGAGGAGAATCAAAACTCGAATGTTTCCATGACAGGTTTGCTCATTTCGCGAATGGTGGAATGCGCAGGAGCCTTGCGGATGCCCTCAATCTGTTCGGAACAGCAAGATACAATCTTACCATTAGACACAAGAGAAGGTTGATGAATCTTGCACCGGAGGAAAGAGGATCATTGCCAGCCGGATGGGAAAAGGTAGTGCCATTCTGGAATCATTCAGAGTTGCTATTCATCAACACAATGGCCAAGGATTTTGGTGTTGCCGTTCCCTTTCGAGTGGTGGAGGATTTGCCGGTGGATAATGGTGAGCGATTCTTCTCCGAATATTTGGTGATGCACAAACCACACTTACAAAAGTATAGCCCAGTTGGTCATTGTCTCTGCCAAGAGTGTCGCTCGCCGATTCCTCCTCCGACTGAACAACCATCACCATTGCCATTAATGGCTGCGCCACCATTAATCGCTGCACGGCAACCAGCGATTGTAGCACCCACGCAACCAACCCAACCGGTGATCGAAGATTCAAATTCAAATCCACAAAACGGTCAACCTCTAAATGACAATTCAAATTCAAATTCGGTTGCTACCACAACTACAACGAAAAGAAGGGGTTATTTAGAACATCTGCAACATTATCGACAGCAGCAACAGCAACGTTCAACAGCACCGGCAGCACCGGCTCGACAGCAACAGCAACAACAACAACAACAGTTTCAACCGATTGCACCAGCGGCGCCTCCACCTCCCTTACCGTACGGTGCACCGCAGTTCATGCTGTACCAACAACCAGCACACATCTAAGAAGCGCAATTGTAGGTAATTCTGAAAACGAGACCTCAGGTCTCGTTTGGGAAGCACATCCCAACCTCTCCTTCCGAACCAAGTCCAAGGTTCCAATTAGGCAACCGGTGCGGCTCCAGGTTGGGAAGTGACGTACTTTACAATCTACTATGGCAGGGGAAACAACTTCAGTACGTGGTATGTTACCCTTTGTGCCATTGGTGTATCCAACCGTTAAGTCATTGTCTACTAAAAAGAAGTCACATCGCCATCCGTTTTTGGATGTCAGAACATGAAGAATCATTCCCAACAACAATAGATCCTGCACAGAGGGGCTATTAATCGCAGAGGCGTTACCTACCAAAATGGACCTGCAGGTGGCCAAGTTCAACTAAAACCAGCTAAAACGAGATAAGACTAGGATAGAGTGGGAATATCAAAAAGCTAGATTGTTAACGCTAATCCAAATAGAGCAGTAGTGAGTCACCAAAAAAGAGGATTACGTAAAAGATCCTCATGGTGAAAGGGGTGAAAAGGGTGAAAAAGGCTACCAGATGGCAACCACCACCGACCAAATTAACAAGATCAGCAAAAAGAAAGGGAGCAATGGGTACCGAAAAAGCACCGGAAGGTTTCCGAACAGAGAGAACTGGGCAACAAATTTCTCACAAAAGCCCTGCCAAAAAGCACCAAGGGGAATCAAAAGGCGGCCAAGGGCTTCCCATTCAATGGGGCCTTGGCTGCAATTGACAACCTGGAAGGACCCTAGTCACAGTCCACCAGATCATCGTAGGACGCTTGCCCTTCTTCTTCTTCTTGTTCACGGCATCCGGATCGGCTGGTGGTCTTCCTTTCCACAATATTCAACATCCATTTCAGCATTTGTTGTTCTGCATCTTGGGCATTGGGCTTGGCACGGGCATCCTGAACCTCAAGCTTGAGGGCATTGTAGCGCCTTCGGCCTGCATTGGACCAACCTCCATACTTGGCATTGCCCACCTTGGAGTTTGATACTTGGTAGCAAACTTTTTTGTCTCCAGTCCTTGCTGCTCTTGGGGCAGTTCATTTCTTTCTGCCACAGTCATTGTTCCCAGGCTGGAGCAGAGGTTCCATCTGGTGTAGGAGTTCTCGTAGATGAGGAGGGTCATTGCCTCAGATCGGGAGGAACACACAGCTTTTCCCTTCCACTTGGCCACACTTATCAACTGGTTGTGGCGGATTGACTCCCTAAACCAGCTGGATGCACCAGCAACAAATGGCAAAAGCTTCTCCGTTAAGGGAAGAATGCAGCTTGATTTCCTCACGCGCTGCCTTTTCTTGTGCACTGGCATCTTGGCAAGGT